ATAGCCTGTGATGCCAATTAATGCAACTGTATCAAACTGCTCCTCAGTGCGAATGACATGCACAGGCTGAACGAAACTACACAGCATCTGTCACTGAGCAGGTTTCAGTGAATGGATCTGAAGCCTTTTACTTTTTTCTTTTAATTCATTGTTTCTTTAAACCAGAACTAATGCAAAAGGAGAGGGAAAGTCGGCACTGTCACTCCTGACATGGCACTGGGCACAGAATGAGCTGCCCCACAGAAGAACAGAAAGGCGGAGAAAATCTCCCCCCAGCTATTTTGAAGAAAAATCTGCAAGAAGCAGAAGCCTGTCCTGTGACACAAACGCCAGTGCTCCTGGCTGGGAAGCAAACAGCCTCTGTGGGCATTGTAGTTTAGTAAAAATTGATCATTGTTTCCCTTCTGTCCCACCAAAATTATTCACCAATTTAAGGCATTTCCAGGAGAAAGAGGCGAAAGCTTTGCACATCCTTTTCCAGCCAAGCGTCCCTAAACTGCTTCTGAAGTAGGAATTTAGAAATGCAAGCTTGCAAAAGGCTTTCAGGGGCTCCTGACAAGCTTTGGAGAGAAAGGGAGAGGAGAGGAAGGGAGGAAGGTGCACTTTGTCCTGGTGGCACAGGGGCCCGGCCAGCTCTCAGCTTTGCAGAAGTCCCTCTCTCCAGCCACACGTTGCTGTTGCTGATCACTATAAAAGCAGCGATTGGGAAAATCTCTTTCTTTCCCTGGTAAACGCAATGACATCCTGCATTTCTGTGGAGCCTTTCATCCACCTCTGAGCTCCATGGAGGAGCCTCTTCAGAGCGGTGTGGAAGGAGCCTGCAGCGCTGTGGGGTTGTGGAGGGAGGGATGCCCAGCGTTGCCCACAGCTCCTTGCCGTGGGCTCGGCCCAGAGAGCAGCATTTTGTGTTGGAGATTTAAGCAGCAGCACGAGGGGTCCTGGCACGGGACAGCCCACAGTGAAGAGCTGCACAAGCCCAGGAGGTGCTGGGCAGGGGCTTGCTGGTGTGAGCTGCCAGACCTGGCAGGGCACAGGCAGGACAGAGGTTGGTCCTGCACAGTGAGCAGAAGACCAAGGTGAGGCAATCTGCAGCACCTCCCAGTGAAAGCATCAGGAATGGCCCCAAAGGGGTAACAGAGCTGATATGCAGCCAGATCCTAACTCACAGGCAGGGTCTGGGGAAATGGAAGTGGAAATAATGGAAATGGAAATGGAAATAGAAAGAGGGGGGGAAGAAGGCGAGGAGAGGGAAAGGGAGG